ATTAAAACCTAGGTGAGTTTTGACCACTCTAGTAGGTTTAGGTCACAGATAATTAGCTTTAGCTTTTAGTCTGAGCTTCCATTCTTGCATGTAATTTATAAATACTTGTTATTATACAAATTTAGTTTTTATATAGTTTCTATGTATTACTTATATAAATTACCCCAATAAAGATATGAGCAAGGCCTTACCTTAATACCAAAAAAAAAAAAAAAAAGAACTACATGTAATACTAAATATTTATTGATTACTGTAAGATACACAACCTTTTTTTAAATTTAATATAAAATAATTTTTATCTAGAAAATTTGCATAACTATAGGTTTATTATTATTATTATTATTATTATTATATATTACAATATAATAACAAATAACCAAATTTAATAAAATTTAAACAAATCATGATTATAAAAAATTTTCTAAATAATTTATTTAAAAATATTAAAATTAAACAAAGTAGATAATGTACATTTAATATTCATGAATTATAAAAGCTTGAACATTTACTTGAACATTTACTTGAACATTTACTTGGATATCAAAAATGTTCAACATTGCTTGGCGGAGATAATCACGATAATACGCATAAAATAAATTAAACGCTAACTATCACTATTAGTAAGATCTTTTTTAAATTAAATTAAATTAAATTAAATTAAACTTAATAATTGGCCATTGACAATTAGTTAGTAACTAACTTCAGTATCCTAGTACCATTCATAACACTACTATATTAAAGAAAATATTAAGATTTGATCATATATTGTAAAACTTTTATTTTTTTTACAAAGCTTTATGAAAGATATAAATTTTATATACACAACTCTATAAGGTTAACGTATTGGATATTTAGTCATTAATATAAACTAATTATAGCAGAAATATCATATATCCTCGTGAAGAAAATCGGAGTACGCTGTTCTAGTAGTTCTAGTACTACAAACACGGAATGGCTAAAATTCAGTCTCGAACAATAGAATAATATAGTATGCTACTGTAATAGGCAAAGAAAATATAGTTTTAAGAAGATATCAATATAAATAAAGATGACAAGTAACAGGTAACGTTAAGTACGTACTCACACACATGCATGAAAATCATCTAAAAGAGTTTATAAAAGAAAAAAAAGCCCAAGCTTTAAATAATATATATTAAAGATAAAAAGGTACGAGAAAAAACCTGTTACCATTTTGTTACGTATTAAAATATTATCTACCGCTACGTATGTACACATGTACATACGCATTTGATACCAAAAAAGATTATTCACGCTGTTATCCATATATAGGTTCTATATCCAAATTCCATATCTGGGTTTTTAATAAAGAAATAAGTTTCAGCAGAATATGACAGTTGATTACGTAAAAGCAGTGAATCTAAAAACGTTACGTACCTGGTACGTACGTACGCCAATATTTGAGAGTCTGACTAGTCAGATTTAGTAAAATAGGCTTAATAGTTCTTTTGTCGCGAAACTTGTATGAAACAGAAGAGGATGGAGAAAAATTAGAAGATATACGTATAAATAAGAAGATATACGTATAAATAAGGTCAGAAACTTTTAAAAAAAATTCTAAACGCAACAAGTGGAAAATTAAAACGATTATTACTATACTAATACATTACTAATACATTGAGTAAGGTACTACTTTTCGCGATTTGCAACAGTAATTATTTGAAAAAATCCGGAATTTTGTTTCCTTTTTAGCCAATTATAAGTGACAATGTAAAATTTATTCGTGCATATAAGTGGCGCATTTCGGATTTTTTATTCAATACTGCAGTATTGCAGTATTTCAATAGCGATAGTATATATTCTACTATTCTACTATTCTACTATTCTACTATTTTATTATTTTATTATTTTACTATGTTGAAATTATACGTAATCGGAAAAATAAAAAAAAGATTCTCTGATTTGATTACACTTTTGAAGTAAAACGTATGACTATGGTAAACAAATAAATTTCTTCATTACTGCGGGTTGATTTTAGTGGTTCTAAAGATGCCACGAACATATGAATAAATCTTTGGGGATACATTTTTTCACATGATATTTAATATGAATATTTTCATTACTAATATCATTTAATACGTATCATTGTTAAATTATCTTATCAATTTGTCATGGGATCAACACCAAGACAATAGCTTCGGTAAATTTCATATTGTAAATACGGTTACGGTAAGATATTTTTATTCAACATTATAAATTTTGTTTCTAAATATAAATTTTAATTATCTTTTAGTAATAAATAAATGCGTTTTATTTTAACCTTAAATAAATCTTAAATAAATGCGTTTATTTTAACTTTAGCAATTTAACAAATAAAGAACTTTTCAAACTATCCTATTTTAGCATGCGTCAAAAGTAATACCGGTTTTTAAGGATTTTCCAAGGTTATCATTAAATAATATCGAAAATTAAAATTTTGATCAATGTAAACCTTTTTAGTAATTTGTGACTTAAAAATTTAGCAGACTATCATACGTACGTACGTACGTACGTAAGTAACATACCTGATACGTACTTATGTTACTTACGTGTTTATCAGTTATTCTGACATGTTCTCGTTCATTCTACAAGTACATTCTACGAGTAAAATGACATTATACACTATCCTGAATATGTCGATTTTAGTTTTTCTGCATACGCAAAAATAAAAAATAAATTTAGAGAATGTGGGGGAGTAATAACATTGGTATAATTAATGAATAATTAATGAACAATGAATTATAACTTTGTCATTGTATTAATTTATAAATTAGGTAAGTAGTTTAAGGAATATTTGGTTTTTTTTGATGGGGTTTGGTTAACGTTAAAAAAACTCATACAAAGGAGAAATATAAAAATTTGTGGGGAATTTTATCCCGAAGAAGTTTCGCATAGAATTGCATGACTTCATTAAATATATTTTTAACATACGTACGTTAATTGCCACGTTTTTTTGCTACGTAGCTAAAATTATCTAAAAATACTGTACGATTTTAAAAAATGATTAAATATTTGTCATTTAATCTTTGGTTCAAATTTTACTTATTTTATTTAGTGTTTTTTTTTTTTATGTATATTTTTACTATAATAAAGTTTGCCGCAGAAAAATATAGCAAGATCGTCTTGGGTTCACGAAAAATTCGCAGTTTTTTTCTAATCGGATAAATCATCATGAGTCAGCTTAATTTAGTAGTTAGTAAAATCCTATGATACATTATAAAAATATTATAAAAATTATTATTAAAAAATATTATATACACATTATATGCATATTATAGACAATAGGTTGGAAAAATAAAATTTATACGTAGCATTTAATGTTACGATAAAAAAAGAGCATTATAACTTATGATAGGTAAATTTTATAATGTAACGATTAATTAATTATGTAATTAATGTATAATACGTAATATACAGTATATACTTTTTTTTAATCAATATATGCCAATTAGAATCCTTAAGAATACGTGTATTAAGAATGAGCCAACTTTATGATGCAGTGAAAATCAAACTTAACTGTTTAAACTTGGCGGTAAATTTTATTAACCTATAAATTGTATCACATAGTAACGAATAAGCATATTGGCATATAATATTGGCATTTAAGTGTGACGATATTTACAAACCACGCGAGAATTTCATTGTTCTTATTCATTCATTAACCTTGACTTTCTTTGTTCTAAATAGAAGAATAAGGTAAAGGTTTCTTTGAAATTTTTCTTATTTTTCTTCAAACGAATTATTACGTATCACTTTTTAAAAGTGATAATTTATTCTTTTTTGGATTTTAATAGTAGGATCGACTAAACTTTAAAATCATTATTTTTTAAATCAAATTTTATGATTCCGGACGTTTTTACTGCGTATAATGATCTTTTTTAAATAATTAAAATAATTAAAATAATTAATAAACGGTTATATATTTTCTATTATTTATTATCATTTATCCTCATTTCTTTTGCCGATTATATATCATAATTAGAAAGCTGAGAAATCTGAAAATGTTAAGAGATAGTTCTTTATTGCAACTCGGAAAAGATCTTCCGATTACGTTTTAATTAAAATTACATCATTAAAGAATTTTGGAATATCTTTCTAAATTATATGACTGGAAAAAAAATAATAGATGACATTATTATTATTGTTTTTTATTAAACAAAAAAAAAAAAAAAAAAAAAAAAAAAAAAAAATCCCGGGCTTTCATCAAAGAATTATTGACAAGCAAGAAAAAAATAAAAAATAAAAAAATGACTATCAAAAAAAAAAAAAATGAGCAGTGCAGCCGTAGATTATTGTCAATCTAACTCTGCTGTGTGTTTTTTTTTCATTATGCATTGTCATACTATAAAATGCCGAATTGCACTTCTTTTGGATATATTGTAACATTCAAGGGTTGCCAAGTAAGCAAAACTTTATAACCAAATTTATGGGCGCAGGAGTTACAATAAATATAAATAGATTGATTCTCAATCTTTGTAAAAAAGTAAAATTTTTGTACGTACTGGGCTGCGCCTTTTACATGACAGACCAAAGAACTTTGCAGAATGGTAGTGCAGCGACACGATTAGGTGAAGGAAATGAAGGAAATTTACATTCTCAACTCATGAGTGGAGCTTTATCTCCTCTCCCATATCTCCCCTTACCTCCTGCTAACAAAGCTCAGGATTTGGCCTCAAACTTATTTCGCAAATACGGGGAAAACTTATATACATGGAATGCACACGAAATTTACCAGAGACGGTACATCGAATACTTGGAGTCTCAAGGAATACAAACAGATGGAATAGCTGAAGCTGATTTATCTACAATCATACAAAGTTCTTGGTCGAAAGAATCAACTAAGGTAAAAGACTTTTATCTGACGGTCGAAAGACTTTGCTCTCCGACGTCATTTGAATCCGTCATGTCGCCAAACTCGGATGAATTACCTCCTCCAACATACTTTCAAGAAGAAACCGGTTCAGATTTTTGTTTATTCTATACAAATAATCATCAAACCACAAGTAAGAAATTTTTTTATTTATTTTTTATTTAATAATAAATCATTTTAATATATCATTTTAATTTATTTTTCTAATTTTCAAAAATATATATTTTTTAGTTGGACCACCAACTCCAATGTCTGTTACCGCTAGCCCTTTTGATTCTTTTAATTATAGATCAGAACATGACGGTGGTGAAAAGCTTTTCTTCCCATCGCTGTCGGACATCCAAAGAAAACCAACACACTCCGAAGATTTTTCCGAAGAAAATGCCGACTATGGCTTCTCCCTATTTTAAAAAGAAAAAAAAAAGATGAAAAAGAAAAAAAAGAAAAAAAATATATTATATTCATTTCTTATTGGGTATTAATTGTGTTGTGATTCACGGTGATGCTCCTTTGGATTTGGTTTTTTTTTTTCGTTATACATAAGCGCAGTTCATGATCATATCTTTTGATACGATCGTAGACCTTCAAAAGTCCCAATGATCCTAATGATTGAACAAAGAAGTTGTGAGACGAGAGACAGAGACAGAGACAGAGACAGAGACAGAGTCGTGAGACGGGGAATAGATGGAACTTGTGGGTCTTGTGGATTATTATTATTATTATTATTTTTTTAAAAAAAATATAATAATAAGGTGGATTCGTTCATTCTTGCTACGTAAAAAAAAAAAAAAGTTATTGGGACGATTTAATTTATAATTTATTGTAAAATTATTAAGTTATGTATGCTTTTTTATGAAAATTCATGTACGTACATTAATTATAAGTTTATGCTTTTATGATTTAAAAAATATATATTCGCTCCTTTATATATATAATAATCCGTCGTCGTCGTATTTTGCTTGACTGTTGGTTATATTTATTTATTATTATTTTTAAAGAGCTGTGAATTTGATGATATATATTATTTAATATTATTATTTAATATTATTATTTAATATTATGGATATTATTAATATTATGTAAAGTTAAAAGCGAATCCCGTTCTCCGAAAGATATCTTTAAAATATATATATTTATTCCGTTCTCCGAAAGATATCTTTAAAATATTTATATTTATTTAACGTGGTGGCCAGCTTGAACGAGGGAATCTCATGGTGCACGCGGTTTCACATGCGAGAATATATTAATACATACGCATAAACTAACATGTAATCGAACCATGATTTTTTATTTTTTTTTATAATCATTCTTATTAATTATTATGAACTATATATATATATATATTTATCGTTTTTTATATGTAATTAAGATATAAATAAATGCGCTTTTAAAAAAATTCATATAATTATCTTGATCAAGTACTTACTTGTTTTCAAATGTTCTTTGGCCACTTGGCAAGAAATGTCAAATAAATAAGGAATACAAATATTTATTGCGTATCTGTAAATAAAGAACCGGTCTATTATTCTTTAAATCTTGTTTGTTTCACCGTTTACGTAGTATTACTATTATTGTCATAGTAGAAAATCGTCACGAGACATTTTAAGACATTTAAAGTACGTCGTTTCTATCAAAGAATTTTTTTCTAAGAATTCTATTATTTTTCTCCAATGGTATCAACGTATCAAGTATTTGAATAAAGTAGTTGAATAGATAATAGATAACTCACATGAGATTCATTCAATAGGATGTACAAATTGTTTTCCATCCTGTTTTATTTTATTTTGCTTTATTCTATTTTGCTTTATTTTAATTTATTTTAATTTATTTTATTTAATTTTACTTTATTTTAATTTTTATTTTATTTTATAATTTTAATTTGAATATTTTGATTTTTTTGATTTTCTCCACAAAGGCAGTATGACGAATATGTCGTGCACAGTAAACACAATGTATGAATCCATTATTTTCAATGAGAAGTAACAGAAACATATATAAAATAAAAAAATAAAATCTCATTTACATACATCATTCTAATTTTTTCAAAAGTGTCCTAGATCTTATTCCTTGTGTACGTCCTTAACTCGTGATTAAAGCTAAAAATTTGGTATAAGATCGTCAATCTCGTTATAATCGATTTTTTTTTTAAACTTACTGGCATCAAGTTTTTATACGCATATATTATTAACAAAAAGATTAACGTTTAAAAGATATTTATTATTATCCATATATTTATCTTCATTATACGTAATGTAAAGTTTTCTCATTGATTTTTCCTTTATAACGTATATCTGTATATGTTAATATGATTTTCTTCAATGAGAAGCCAATCAAATCAATTTTTCAATGACGATTTAATCTTCATATTACTATAAACTTTTATGTAATAGTATCAATTTTCTTATATAAATACGACATGAGCTCACTATATTTTTGCATGATGAATCTTAAAAAAAAATTTTTTTTCAATAAACTTCCCCCATCACACAAAAAATTTGTAAATGGAAAGACTTACTGCCGCGCAAAAAGTTTTACTCACTCCTGATGTTTTATACGGTATTTCTTCTTATTTTGACCGCCAAGATGACCTCTTGAAATGTGTTTTTGTACATCCTGTGTGGGCGATAGTATGTTTACTCATCTCTTGGTTTTTATATCATTTTTTATATCATTTTTTATTCTTTATTTTTTTAATTTTCTTTTTCTCTCTCTTTTTCTCTCTCTCTTTTTTTGGATCTCTTATACTATACTATACTATACTATACTATACTATACCGTATTCTTTTACGTTTATTTTACGTTTATTTTTTACGTTAATTTTATATACGTTAATTTTACTTACGTTTGTAAAAGGTTTTCATAAAGCAACTATGGAAAGCTCCAATATGGAAAACAAAAGAGTCTGTTAGTCTCTTTTTACGTACTCTTCGAAAAGTAAAATCTTGCTTTTTATATGGTCATATGGTACATAGGGTCGTATTTAAAATATATAGACCTTATGATACCTCTTCAGCTTTTACCGCTAATGATCTTAGAGTTATCTCTCGAAAGTGTCCTAATTTGAGGCATCTTACCTTTGCTACCACGGCTCCACCTTTCTCCCATTCAAATGTTGAACTTCTTTTAAATTCTTCTCCTAATCTAATCACTTTTACTGTCCTTGATTGTGATAATCAATGGTTAGAAGGTGCTCTTACGCCGTTACGCCAAGGTCGATGTCCTAAATTACACCATTTAGAGATAAATGATTGTAATAGATCTTGGTCTTTTAATGTTCTTAGAGATATTGGTGAAAATTGTCCAAATATTATTTCTTTGAAATTATATCAAAGAGTAAATAATTTAAATTTAGCAAAGATGATTGTCAACTCTTTTCCAAATCTTCAAACTTTTGAATGTAAATATATTAACGAAGCTGGATTACAAGGTCTTATCAATGGTTTACATAATCTTAAATCTTTAAGTGCTCAATTCGAAAATGATATTAAAGTATCGGAATCTTTGGCTCCTAAATTTGCTAAATTAGAAGCTCTTAGAATAAGAGCTATTCATGTTCAAGATCATAATCCTCTTTTCTCTGTTGCTTTTTCTCAACATCAACCTTGTCTTAGACAATTATATTTAGCTACTTTACACATTACTGATAAAACTATCAAGATGATCGCTATGAATTGTCTTCATTTAGAATCAATTGAATTATTTATGTGTTTTTATCTAACTGATATAGCTATTTCAACTATTGCTCAATATCGTGGAAAAAGACTTAAACATTTAATGTTAGCTTATAATGCTTATATTACTGATGCTGGAATAAATCAAATAGCTACTCATTGTACTGAATTAAGATCCGTTGTCATCATATCATGTGCAAGATTAACTAATGTTGCATTCAATAATATAGCTAGAGAATGTAAAGGTCTTGTTGAAGTTACTGTAAGACATGATTCTTGTCAAATGTTGGCTTCTATTGTTCATACTTTGGCTACTAGGAATAAAGGAACTTTAAAAGTTTTGAAAGCTTATGATGTTAGCACTAAAGAAATGGATAAAAGATTAAAATATAAAGCTGATGTGAATGTTTTAGAAAGACTTGCTATACGATGTCCACAAATAAGAACTTTGGTACTCAAATGCTGTATTCAAGAAAAAGATCCAAGTGTATGTCAAATATTTATATTATATATATATTCTATTTTTTTTTTTCTTTAATAACTAAAAAAACAACCTTTTTATATATTTATTTATTTTAGCAACTTGTTAAGGCAATTCACAAATTTAAAAATCTTGAGGAATTACAAATTTCAACATCTGTGAAATTCTCGTCTTCACACATAAAACAACTAGAAAAACATAGAAGATTAAAGTATGTTACTATTATTTACGGACCTCTCTTAAATGCTCGATCTCGTATTCAAGAATCTAGACTTGAATCAACAGTTGGAATGAACATTACTTTACTTACTCCGGTAACTGATAATTAAATTTTTGTTTTAAATAGATGGCAGAAATTGTTTACTTTTTGTTTTTTTTCTGATTATTCTTAATGATTGTTTCATAGATGGTTTATAATATAAATGGTTAAAAAAAAAACCAAAAAAAAAAAATTTATGAAATTTTTTTTGTAACTAAATATTGAGGAATGATGTATATAGATTTATTGGTAAAAAAAAAAATAAAATAAAAAAAAAAGATTGTAAAAAATGTAAGGTATTCTAAAAAAAAAAAAAAAAAGCAATAAAAAAAAATAAAATAAATAAAATTTTATACTTTTTGAACTTAACAGTTAACGCGTAGATTGATATCAAGAATAATGCAAATTTTCTTTAATCTTTATTTTTTATTATTAATTAATTAATTTTTTTTTTTTTTAAGCGCGAAATAACGTCTAGTCTTTCAAAAAATAGTCCCAAAATTAAAGCGTCCTGAATTAACGCGTATCCCAACATATAATTTATTGGCGCATATAACGCGAAGACGCGTTTATATGGTAATTGTTTGACGATGAAAAAATATCAATAAACGTTTTTGAAAATAAAAAAATAAAATTTACAATTTTAGAATACATATTATTTTTCTTAATTATTATTTTTACGTAGCAGATTTCAAATATCGCACGAACATATCTATCTATATTCTTTGGTAGGCCACTTATTGATAAGTCACTTGATCGGTCAAACTATTTTCCACTAATTAAAAATTGAGCTAGACTTTTATCATAGAGTTGTGCTAATTTAGTTAAAATTTAAATATCTACATAACTTTTCTCCGTAACAATTACTTCAATTTAATCATAGTCCTTGTGAACAATCTCAATCACTATCCCTAAATCAGTTAGCATCTACTATTTTCCGAATTATCCTAGCCAATAGAACCTTGGGAGGAAAAATTGATCATTCGATTAGGTGTTCTCAAACATCTCACTTAATGGATCAGAGGCACAATTTTTAATTGGCGTTAGTCGGATATTATGAATAAAATATGAAAAATTAAAGATATTCATAGAATATAGAATTACTCTTTTGATTGGCTAAAATTTAAAATCCGCATTTCGCTAAATTTAAGCAAATCCGTCCTTTAAATTAACTGCCATAATCACTAAATTGCAATTATTTGAGCAACATTAAGGAATCTGTTTGAGAACACCCTAAAGACCATAAATGGTCAACGGAACATATAATAAATAAGTTTCCGAAAGTTCCGACGATTATCACCGATCTTAAACTATGTTGAATATTTTACAATTTCACATGTGACTTCTGAAGTGCTCTCAAAATAAGCGAGACAAAAAGGTAAGCCAGAAGTTCACGAATGGAAGATTTAGGGTGTTTTCTTCAATGTGATTTGCTAGTGATCGAGATGTTCAAAATCATCTAATTAACAATTTGAAAATGCGGTTTTATAACTCCGTGGAAATAATAACTCACTTGGTTAGTTTGTTTCAATTTTTCCGATTAATATTAAAATTTTTATATCGATTCATTGAGCGAGGTGCTTGAGAACACCTTCAACCTATTTATATCTACTTATATAAATACTTTTATCTTATGATTTACATGCAATTTGCAAAAAATCTGCAGACAAATTTACTTGAGACGGATTAAAGGATAATCAATTATCCAGGAGATCCCCTGTCATCCACATTTTATCTGTTATTATAAAATCTTCGAATTGTCTTTACAGTAATGTAAAGGTTTTAAAAATATGATCAATGCTAATCGTTACACCTAATTCTCGGAATACCCAATAGAAATAAGTATATTAAAAACGTCAAGTAGCTAGGAATATTATTTATGATTGTTATCCACAGTTAGAAAAAAAAGAGGTTATTCTACAGAAAATACTATTGTTATCATCTTATAGGATAATACATTTTTCGAATATCGATATTATGATTAAAAAATACCTTATAGAGGTGGTGACATATGATTACGTCAAAAAGATGGTCAATTACATCAAAGGGTCATGCGTGTGTATATCGTAAAACATTTGCACAACTATGTTTTAATCCTATTGTTGGACATGATGCAGGGTGTAATATACGTAATTAAAAAACGTACAAATTGAAGCTTTACGTAAAGAAGTTATCTAACTAATAATCCTTTCGAGAATTTACATTATATATAATATAGTAAAGAACATACATAGTTCTATTTATTAGCAATTCATTATGTCAATTATTTTGAAAGAATTTCAAACAGACCAGTTTCGAGTCTAACTTCATTTTTTAGAGTTAATATAACAGTATCAATTAATATTATGACACATGTCTGAAGTTACAAGTCAAATATTATAGCATATATCTGCATTACCCGAGTCACGACTGCAAGACTGTGAATGCTACATAAAATTACATCATCGATCATATTTCTGCATCAATGCTGCTATATATAAAATAAGTTATTCGATAATAATGGTTCTTTATAGTTCTTGATTTGTAAAGAACTTAATTAGAGTTACGAGCGGTGTATCTTCAAAACTTTTCGGAGTTTAACACAATTTATTATATTTACATATAAACCTAATATGATTTCTTTGTTAAGTAGTGCTATTTTCATATTAAATATGTAAGAGGCCGAATCAGGCTTGATAACCAGAATAGAATCAAAATTTAGCTAGAATAGACTTCTTTCTTTGAGATATTGGTTAAAGATTTTTTATTTAATATATAATACTGTATTATTTCGGTAAATTTTCTTTTTCCGTCAAATAAATTCTGAATGTAGTACGCGTGCCATACACGATTTGATAAACATTTACACACATGCATACATGTCACATCGATGGTGTGTTTCAAATTCAACTCTCACTTTGCGAGAGCGAGAGTTTTTTTTTTTTTTATGATGCTATTATAAAAAAATTGCTATTTCATATGAAACAGCCATTGCAAAACAAATCCAGTAAATTTTACATTGATAATAATGTACGAAAAAGAGTAAATTTGTTAATATCTTAAAATTTTTTATTGCGGAATAGTTTCTTCCGAACCGGAGTTTTAATTCCCTAAGGCTTTTACGCTTTTACAAGTCACACTCATTATATATATCTTTAATATTATCAATGTATTTTCATGTTTTATCAAATTTGAATAAATTCCTTTTATATTTTACATTATTTCTTTTACAATCATTATTAGTTTATTCTAAAGGAGGAGGAGGGGGTGAGGGTAGTAGTCCATCATCTAGTTCGTATAGTGGCAGTTCAAGTTCAAGTTCAAGTTCTTACACATCATCATTATGGGTCTTTTGGTATTATGATGACAGCGGAGTTAGAAAATGTGGAAATTACTGCATAGTTATGTTTTCTATTGTCGGATTTATAATCTTATGTAGGTACATTTGGCCTCTGATAGACTTAAATATTTTGTTAGATACAAAGTATATGTATTATTATTATTTATACTATTATTATCTTATAACTATTACTAAAAATTAGATATCATATTTTAGGTATTATTTTATGTGGATTTTGGAGATGTTATATGATAAGACAATTTTACAAAGATGATCGTATACATGATGATTATGAAAGTGCTTTTGAAGATTTTATGCGTGAACATGAGATAGCAACAAACAATCATAATCGAAATCAAGTAGAGTTACAATATCCTCCATTAGCTCATACTACTCCTGTAAATGATCCTCCACCAGCTTATGATACTGCATATGGAGAAAAATCTCAGTTACATGGTTTAAGACATAATGCCTCTTACGAAGCTTACAAGGCCGGTAGACAATTTACACGAGATAATCCACCTAATGAAATATTACCGCCAAGAGAACATATTGATTATATTTTATCAAATGGAGGTGCTAAAGCTTGGAAAATGGTAATATTTACTAATGATGCGCCGGATGGTTCTGGTAGTACTTCCGCGTTTAAAGACATGGTAAATGTATCGGATGACGGACGTACTGTAACATTCCATGGAAAAAATAACGCAATGGTACAAGCAAATTATCCACTTTTCAGGCCACAACTTGATGATGATGATGATGATTCTTTACAACCACATTCAAACATAATAAATTCAGCAACTTCGAATAATATATCATCGTCAAATTTACCACCAGATTATGAACAAAGTACTTCATCTGAAAAACAAATTACATCATTAAATTCGGATCAGAGTTCAGGATCTTGGTTTTATTATTTTGAAATAACAATAATATCAAATCCTAAAAAAAAAGATTCAACTCTAGCTATTGGACTAACCACTAAGCCATACCCTAGTGAGCCTTATTTAACATATTATTATTATTGTTATTATATTTAAATATTTTCTAAATTATACCGTTGTTATTCCCTATCTTGTAGGTTTTAGGTATAAAAAGAAAAATTTTAATTATCTATAAGAATAATCCTGGACATTGTATTTATCAATTTTTTTTCTTTTTTGCTATAATAGATTGCCAGGGTGGAATAACCATTCTGTTGGATATCATTCAGATGATGGACATAAATTCAATAATGATGGTCTTGGAGGGCGAAATTATGGTGAAAGATGGGGTGATGTTGGTGACGTAATCGGTAAATTGACTCAAAATTAAATATATATTTATTAATAACAACCATTATCAAATTTTTATAATTAAATCATTTTTATTTTTTACTTTATAGGATGTGGTTATTACCCTGATACAGGTATTGTGTTCTTTACAAAAAATGGAGTATCTCAGGGTAATGCGTTTTTAGGGTTAAAACATATCTGGTTCCCAACCGTTGGTGCTGATAATAAATGTAAAATTGAAGTTAACTTTGGTGATGGAGCAAAAGAATTTCGATATAGAGAAGCTAGGGGAACGAGCGTTTCAGGGCCAATAATATTACCTCCTAATGGATAGTTACTTTAAATATCGTTTTTTAGAAATATATATATATATATATTTTTTCTCCTTTTTTTTTTTTTTTTTTTTTGAATTTCGATTTTATTAATAAAATAGTTTTTCATGAGAATTACTATTTATACACTAGTGTGTACACACAGGGTATTGTTAATACTCAAAATTTTGCTTATAAAACTACTTTTGGGGTTCTAGCAAAAATAATCTACGCAAAATTTTAGTATAAAATACTCTCTAACCCTGACCTTAACCTAATATTAAGTGGTTTTAATACCCGTGTTTATACACTAGTGTAGGTTTGGAAAATTTTCTTTTCAGAATTAAAATGAGATACGATAGGCTCATCCTACTCTATTGATCCATCTGTATTATAGTAATATATAGAGCCACTTACGTCTCTGGTTAAAATTAATATTCAATCATTTTATTATTTTAATTCATATCGATATACAATGGTAAGTTCATATTCGGGTTTTTATTAAATTTAAATTAGCATAAAAATACTCAAAGATAACTATTGTATATCCAGTAAATTTTAGCATGCTCTATTCTAGCTTATTTAGTTTTTAAATACCATCATTCACATTATTTTACAGATAATTGTCTTTTTTTTATTTATAATATTAAATTTGTATTCAGTTCGATTGAATCGATCTCTTATATTTGAGCTTATAATTGGACTTATGGTGTTAAAGTTTTAAACGAGTAGTTATTCAAATGAGTGCCACCAAAGGAAAATCCAGAATATTAATAGATGAAATTTCAAGATTTTGGTTGCATCATTCATGTCTTGTATAACACTTATATATAACGATGCAGTTAACGCATCCATTTTTAGGTATGATACAAATTCTTAACCAAAGTTGAATGTTGTCCATTCTATGTTTATAATAAACATTTAATTACTATTAATAAGGTCACGTACATCAAATGTTCAATTTTAATTAACAGTTAATTTTGTTCTCGTCTAATTGGGTTTACTTGACTCTATAATAATTTTAAGTCTTCGACTAAATATATCAAAATGGAGTTGAATCATTGACGATGTATATTTGTTCGAAATATATTTATTGGCAATAAAATACTAGATTGATTGTTTCGATCGATTTTCCCATGTAACAGATAATAAATTAATCAAGTTCTAGGACAATCAACATCCTCGATAACATCCCATATTTCTCTAGCCAATCTTAATTGACTTTGTTTAGAATCTTTATCGCCGTCACAAGGTGATCCAGCTCTAATTGCCAAATATTTACGTCCAAAAATGTCAACCGGCCCCTCATCATATCCTTGAGCACTTACCATTATACCACCCGCTTCATTAAGAATTACGAGAGCTGCTGTCACATCCCTATATATATATATATAAAATAAGAACAAGAACAATTACATCATAAACATTCTAATAAAGTATGATATTAAAATACAAACCATTCCCAACATCCAAATTCAAAATAAATATCGGCACGACCCAGAGCAACGCTACAAATATTTAAAGAAGCACTACCAATACTCCTAACTCCTCTAACTAAACCAGCTTTTTTAGATGACCAAGAAACCTCACCAGGCTTTCGCAACAAATTATGAACTGAATTAACCTTTTTGCTAATAACTACATCTGATCGATCGCTGCCAAATTCTGAAATCACCAAGCATTGAGCAAGAGACGAAGGTAGTTGAAGAGGAGGGTTTGGATATGAGAGTGGAAGCTTAGTCGTATGATTTAAAAATGCGCCATGACCTTTTCGGGCTGTATATAACTTTAATGGATAGATTGCTTGAGAAATTTTGGTTCTAAAAGGCATGAATTAACTTTATAAGGAAAAAAAGTTTAATTTACTTCATTAAGAAATGGGTTAAACACTACGCCAACAACAGGTTCCTTATTAATTGTTAACCCGATAGAGACCGCAACAAATGGAAATCCATGAACAAAATTTGTTGTTCCATCTGAAACAATAAAAATTATATAAAATTTTATTTTATTTTATTTATGAATAGATAAAAATTATTTATTCAACGGAAAAGTGAAATATTCCTCACCTATCGGATCGACAATCCATGTTGGGTCATCTGTGAATTCATCTTGGTATCCAGCAGCTTTCGTCTCTTCACCGATAAATCTTGAATGACAATTAATTTAAAAAGAATCTCTAACTACTTCCCATCTTTTATAATAAAAACTAACTTATGCTCCGGGAAGCTTTCCTTCAACTTTGATTTAATCAATTCTTCTACTAATTGGTCGGTTTCGGTTACTAAATCCGATTGATTTCCATACTTCGAGAGAACTTTACTATTTGTAGAATATCTTGCATTTGATGCATCAAGAATTATCTGTCCGCATTGCTTGGCTAATTTTATAGCGAATTCTAGATAATGTTCTGTAAAAATAGATAAATTAGAATAAATTGATCGGATTAGTTTATTAATATATTATATATTGATTACCCGTAGAATTCATTTTTTCTTGAAAAGTTTATGGGAGAAAAGGAAATGAATGGCTGAAAATGTGATTGTCATATCGTTTTTATAATGCACCAGTAGAAAACAGGATTGACAAAACCTTGATAAAAATGAAATATATGTTATATACTGTAAAATAAAAATATATTTAAGTATAAACCTTGTATAAAATGCATATAATATATATATATTTATAATGTATTTTTATTTGCTATTTTTTTGGTATTAAGTCAAATCTTTTTTTTTTACTAGTAAAATTGAATATAATTAACATTTTTATATTTGTACAATGACCAAGCTGATACCCAAGAACAAACAAATTTTTGCTGGTCTTTTTAAAATTTTGTATCTTTGCCTTGAAAATCACGTTATGGAAACATACGATTTTCTCTGTCCCATAACGTGACTATAGCTGCTGTCCAAACCCAACTAGCTTGGGACCATTATTTGGGACTAATTAAAACCGTGGAACTTGTCCCAAACTTACTTTATGAATTGGGATTTGGGACAAAATTCCAGATATAACCAGTTCGGGCCAATAGTTATATTAACTATTTGGACCGCAACTACAAACGTGACTTTCAAGACAAAGGCTCCATTTCGTTAAAAGCACAATAAGACAATCATTAGTTGTCTATGACGTAAAAATGACTTAATGTAATCAATAAATATCAGCCCGATGTTAACGAATAAAAGGAATCAGAATTTGCTTTTAACGGTAAAAAATTTTTTTTCGTTAGTTTGAGGATTTGAGGATGTCGCAACAACATTATCCTATGCCAGATCTAATAAATTACGCTCCTCCTCCAACCTCACCTAATTCGACCCATCCATACACGCATACTAGTCAAGGAAATTATTATATGCCAGATCCAATATATTATGCTCCCCCTCCAACCTCATCTAATTCGATCCATCCATACACGCATACTAGTCCAGGGAAAACCTCAACTTACTACAATGATAATGAAAGACCACCATCATATGAACCACAAAATACATCTTATGTGCCACCGCAAAGTGGTTATCAACCACCTCCCAGTTTCGAGCAAGCTACGAATAGTGGTAGTGATGACACTGATGTGAGATTTAATACAAGGCCCAAACCTCAAGACTTATGTAAATTAAATCAGACATATGATTTATTTTTTGTTTTATTTTTTTAATGCTTAAGAAGTAATGTCTTAATTTTTTATTATTAAAATAGGGGCTATAGTTTTATTTCTGTTAGATTTTCTGGCATTCATTATTGTATCTGCGATCTCTCTAAGAAATTACGAGATCATACAACGTCAAAGTCGTACACCTGTCGAAAGCGTAACTTTGAATTGGAGTACTATTTTGCTTTTAGCGTTTTGTGTTGGAATCGGATTCGTGCTAAGTACAGGCTACTTGATATTAGCACATAAGTACGTACATTCTTTTTACTTTGCACTTTGTATTTAGATTAATTTATTGATACTTTCACATCTTATATCTTTTACGTTAAAACTAGATTTCCAAACCAATTTATCAAAATCACATTTTTAATCTCTATCGCAATGTACTGGGGCTTTACCATTTATTTCTTTATTGCTAAGTATTTTAGCCTTGCCATTTTATTTGCTATCGTCGCTATTTTCTATACATTATTTTGGTTTTGGTAATATTTCATTTTTGTTATTTAAATATATATAAAATAAATTTACTACAAATATTAAAACTATTTGAATTTATAACACAGGTGGAAGCCAATGATTCCATTTTCTTCTATCATGTTGCAGACCATAACAAGTATCATGAATAGATATAAAGCAATGGTTTTGGCAGCTTTCGTGGGATTAATAGTATATGTGTTGTATACGATATGGTGGATTTTTACTTTCATCGGTAAATGGTTATAAATTCTACGCTGGATAAATAAATCATGGACGCGCCAATCGATTTATTTATTTGATTTGATTTTTATTTGATTTTTTTAGCGGCATATCAAGTCTGGTATCCAGCCGCGTGTATGCAAACACAAAGAACGCAAGCAAATTGTCAAACAGGTCCATTTACAGCCATTGTCATATTCTTATTATTTACGTAAGTGTATTTATCTAAATATTCTATTTTTTGTTATCGTTATGTCTCAAGTTAAAATAATTTTGATACTAATTTATTAGATATTACTGGGTGTCTCAAGTTATCCAAACTTTTATTCATGTTACAACTTCTGGCGTATTTGCTTCCTATTACTTCCTTGAAGGAACACCTCAAGGTGTTCCACCTTCACCTACCTTGAATAGTGCAAAAAGGGCAGCGACCACTAGCTTTGGGAGTATTTGCTTTGGAAGTTTATTAGTTGCCATACTACAAGTTATTCGTCAACTTTTGAGATCTCTAGCTCAAGGCACTGATAATCCCCTTGGTAATTATATAATATACTACATGTTTTCTATGTATTTTCAACTATTAAGATATTCTCAAAAGATATTAATAAATTTCATAAATTAGGCGCGTTTTTCGCTGCTTGTGCAGCTGCATTAGTTGGATATATCGATTCATTGTTAGTAAGTTGTATACAATTTAGTTGGATCTATAAATTTTTATTATCGGGTTATATATGTTGATAAAAATATTCTATGTTTAGGAATATTTCAATTTTTACGCGTATACACAAGTAGCAATTTATGGAAAGTCATTCTGTGATGCGGTAAATACATTATGGAGTTCTATTATGGCAGCTGAAATTGAAACCCTTTTTAATATAAACATTTAAAATTTTTTATTTTTTGAGTACTGCATACCTCTTTATCGTTAAAAGAGATATGTTGGTAGGCTTAATACATTCAAATAAAGACCCAAATTTCAGCTGCCATAATTATTTTCGCGAAATGATATTGATACTAATTATATTTATTTATTTATTAAATTTGCAATCAAAATTTCCTGTACACATCAAAGGCAAAGGTATGATAACTATAAATATGTTGCGGATAAGATGTCACACAAACTTATTTTTCGATAATATTATAGGATACTTGGACTATGATTAAAGATCGTGGTGTTGAGGCCATTATTAACGATAACCTTATAGGTACCGTGATTATGATGGGTATTGTATCGTGTTACCATATTATATTTATTATACGCGCATTTCGCCGGACCATAAGAAAAAACCTGAATCTGAGATTGCATTTAAGAGAACAAGATAATATAACTCTACAAACGAGACATAAGAGTGTCTTTCAAATTTATAAAATATTTATGCACTCAGAAAGAAACCGGCTGTATATGTAATTCGCTTTCTTGTTTGAATTATCTACTAAAATTAATTTCTATCCAAGGTTCATTTCTGGTTGGAATGATCACCGCTCTATTTGGATATCTTTACACGATCATCTTTCATCCCAGTTTCAATGCTGGTGGAGGATTCACTCCATTATTAGTGTTTCTGGCATTCATTATTGGATTCCAAATGCTATCAATTATAGGATCTGTAATTTTTAGTGGAGCCGCTACAACATTCGTTTGTTTAGCCGAAAATCCGGATGCGTTGGCTAGAACCAAACCAGATTTATATAATGAAGTGAGTAGTTAAAAAAAAAAAAAAAACTGTATAATCGAATCTCTCAGAAATCAGTTAATAATTATAAAATTTAATAGATCATCAGGACCTATCCTGCTTTTGCTCAAGGAATTCGAGCATAATTCCCTTTTTGTATAAATTTTATCAGATAGGAATACATAGAATTAACTCTATTTATGCGTAACATTGGTATTTTAAGTTGAATGGGCGAAAATAGCAAAATCACTTAATCTCTAATTTATTCATCTTCATATTTGCTAAATGACTTTATAAATGAATTATTTTTTCATGGCTTTTCTGTTGCCTTAAATAAACATGCATGATTAATTTAAAAATATTCAACAAATAAATCGAATAATATTAATAAGGATAAATAAAACATACTAACATCTTGCGTAAAACGTCTATTATAAACCTTGCTAATGTGTGGATGATCCTTGGTAAGGTGAATAGTTCGGCCGCCCTCATATATAAAACGTTGTTTAAATCTCTGTTCTTTGCAATTATATGATACTTGATTTTTCAGTTCCTCTTCAGTTCTAAACTTCTGATCATATCTTTTTTCTTCACGTATATAACGTGCTGGATCAAGACTATTTATAGGTCCAGTGGTAAATTCCTTAGTTTTATATTTTTGTTTATCATATCTAATCGGTTGAAAACGATTTGAGTAGGTTTTCAAAATATTCTCAGAGGAATCATTATTGCATGTTTGTCCTCTAAAAATAAAGTGCCTATTGTTATTATCTTCTGAGGACTCTGAGTGATTGTGGACATCGTGTCCATTTAAATGACTTCCTGAAGTAAAATATTTTCCGTGTTGAGGTTCATCACGAGTGATGTTTGGACTATTTCTATGAATATTTCTCGTTAAAAAATTTATATTACGTCGTTGTCTATTGCAGGAATCATCTTTTTGGTCATTTATTATGTGTTTATTGCGTTCAAACCTTTTATATGAATCTAATTTATTCGCGTTCGTATCCACTATATTGGAATTAGATTGTTGAGATATCACATTTCGACATTTTGTAGGATTATATTGTGAAAGCAGATGATTCCGAAGATCCTCTTCGCAAGCAAAAACTTCTCGACACCCAGGGTTTGTACAAGAGAGTTGAATTGAATTTTCCATTTCCATTGAATTTTCATTTCCAACATAAGGTTTGTCATATACCGTAGATAATATTGAAAATTTATTGGTCGTTAATCTATTCGGTAATGACTTATGATCTTTTGATTGTGGAGCTTCTTGCAATGAATTTTCATTCAAATTTTGAAAATGTTAACCTTTATCTACGCAATCTTGCAGCGTTATTAAATTTTGCATGGTCATTTGTTGACTTTTGTCAAGTTATAATTTTAGGTCATTTAACAACACTGCAGTCTTGAGATAAAATTCAAATGCGACTCACCTTGAGACTTATCAAAATCTTGTCCTAAATTATATCAGAATGTTTAATTTTTCACTACTATGTCATAAACGTTATTATTGTATAATTTACCTGAGGACTTTTCAAAATTTCGTTCTAAATCGATTTTAGATGATTCACTAGATCCAAGAAATCCAATATTTTCAACAGTACTGCTGTCGCTTTCAACACTAAAGTAAGACGGTTCAGATGTCACGCTTTGATCACTATTCACGCTTTCTTCACTTAAACTAGTGAATATTCCTTCTTCGTCACTATCCGCTATAAAATTAATCAGTGATTCACTTCTGTTAACTTTACCGTTCTTAACTTAGTTTTCAATGTATATTATTATTATTTTTTTAGAATTATAAAATACAATAATGTAACAAGCTGTAACCAGAATGATGATAGACAAAAAATCCCTACTTAGCTTAGTCGGGAGAGAAACACTTGGACGAGAAATAGGCTTTTCAACAGGTTCATCTTCGGAGCCTTTTAACAAATTTAAATTTAAATAACTTTCAAATGCATGATAATAATAGTAATAATAATAGTCATTAATGCATGCTTACTGGATTCCGCCTCTGAGTAAATAAATTCAAAAGGAATGCTTCCTTTTAAGTTTTTACGCATGTTGACAGTAGTAATCGTAAGCTTAACTCTATTGCATTTCCAGAAACGGATTATAAGCACATTTAAGCATAGTGGACAAACCTAAATTTGGATGATCGGCAATGTGGCTTAGCCAATTTAATATAAAATTTTTTCACTTTTTTTTATATTTCAAATTATAGTCTTATACAGAAATATAAAATAAAACTTAAAACAATTTATGAATTATAAGATGTGTTTCTAATAGATGTCATAATGATTAATCTATAGTATAGGTAAATATATAAAATTATTATAAAATTATAATATATAAAAATTGGCTATTTTGAACTTTATAAATATATAATTAAGATTAGAGTAAGAATTAGAGTTTAAATTAATTCAAAATAGGTGGTTTTTATATATTATAATTTTATAATAATTTTATTTGCCCACCTATATTATAGAAGATTTGTTATAATCATAAATTAAATAAGTTAATATATTTAATTTTTGAAGAATTCTAATATACATCACAGGTATTACATTATATATTGTGCAATATTTCGCAATTTATTGCGCAATATTATGTCTAGACCATAATTATTGCACAATATTTCAGGGCATAATAACTTATGTAAGATTATATTAATATATTTCGCTGATGATGTCTTTATTCAAAAATTCATGATATTATTCGAAAATCAAGGTTGTAGCTAAGTGCCTTTGCCTAGTGATAATCAAAGTTGTAGTCATGTATTTTCAACTAGTAAGCAAATAGTTGGTCTTTTGCACAATAATTTATTTGTTGTGTCTTTATCTAAAAATTCAATGCTTTTATCTGATAATTAAGGTTGTAGTTCAGTGCCTTCATCTAGTAATCAAAATCATAATTGTGTGTTTTTGCCCAGTAAGCAAATAGTTGGTCTTTTATACAATAATTTATTTATTGTATTTTTATTCAAAAATTTAATATTTTCATCTGATAATCAAGACCATGCTCAAGTTTTTTTGCCTGGTAATCAAAATTACAATCAAATATCTTTGCTGAGTAAGCAAATAGTTGGCCTTTTATACAATAATTTGTTTGTTGTATCTTTATCTAAAAATTCAATAATAATCAAGATTATGCCCAAGTTATTTCATTCAGTAATCAAAATTACAATCAGTCTTCATCTAGTAAGCAAATAGTTGGTCTTTCACACAATAATTTGTTTGTTATATATTTATCCAAACATTCAATGCTTTTATTTGATAATCAAGATTATGTTTAAGATTTTTTACTTGGTAATTAAAGTTACAATCAAGTGTCTTTACCTAGTAAGCAAATATTTGGTCTTTTGTATAATAATTTGTTTGTTGTGTCTTTATCTAAACATTCAATGCTTTTATCTAATAATCAAGGTTATGCTTAAAATTTTTTATCTGGTAATTAAAATTACAATCAAGTTTCTTTGTCTAGTAAGCAAATAGTTAATCTTTCACACAATAATTTGTTTGTTGTGTTTTTACTTTAAAATTCAATGTTTTCTTTTGATAATCAAGATTGTGTTCAAGATTTTTTGCCTAGTAATTGAAGTTATAATCAAATACTTTTACCTGGTAATAATCTAAATTGTAATCAAGTATTTTTACCTAGTAATCAAAATTACAATCATGTGTTTTTGCCTAGTAAGCAAATAGTTGGTTTTTCGCATAATAATTTGTTTGTTGTATCTTTATTTAAAAATTTAATGCTTTTATCTGATAATCAAGGTTATACTCAAGATTTTTTGCCTAGTAATCAAAGTTACAATCAAGTGTCTTCGTCTAGTAATAATCTAAGTTGTGATTAAGTATCTTCCTCAGTAAGCAAATAGTTGACCTTTTGTATAATAATTTGTTTGTTGTGTCTTTATCTAAAAACTCAATGCTTTTATCCAATAATCAAGCATTTTTGCCCAATAATCAAAATTGTAACCAAGTATCTTCACCCAGTAAGCAAATAGTTAATCTTATACTTATAATTTGTTTGTTGTATCTTTATCTAAAAATTTAATGTTTTCATCTGACAATTAAGGTTGTGGTTTCGTATTTTTGCCTGATATCCTTGCCAGTGGTTTAGTGCCTTTGTCTACTGATTATGTTGGTTCTTCTAAATCTTTATTTGAGAATTATGTTGGTCATCAAGAGCCTTTGTCTAATAGCCATAATAAGTTTTGTGCTTTATTTGATAATTGTTATTAATTGGGATATGATGCTAATTTATTACATTCTAGCTCTTGTTAATATTACTAACAATTATTTAAATTCAATTGTCATGATATTTTATAAGAATCTTTATGCCAAAACCTTTAGCAGTATACTAACAATATGACACAACAAATATTAAAAAAAAGAAAGCTTATTAATATTCAAGTTGGTAATTTTGCAAGAGTTAGTATTTCAAAGACCAATCGATTTGATATTGATTGTCTTACTCTCCCTGTAAGGTTTTGAAAAAAACTGATGAAGATCAGTACTGACTTGAATATAAATCTGATATAATTAGCATATATTAGACTTTAGGCAAACTTGAAATACTCAGAACTACTATTTGTCCTGAGCTTGATGATATTCCAATAAATTTAGTATTAATTCATGAGGCAGCAAGACTGCAAAGTGTGAAAACTACATTAGATTCTATCTGTAGTTGTAAAAATTCATGTAATAATAAGAAGTGCAAGTGTAAAAAAATGAATTTAAAATGTACAAGCTATTGTTATAGTGGGTAATTATGTTTAAATAAAGATTAATACAATATACAGTATTATTGCATAAAAAATTGCATGCATTAAATAATTTAATTATATATTTAAATATTAATAAATTTAGAATTTAGTTGGTTTATAATTTTAATAAAGGTTGCGTTAGAAAGAATTAAAATTCTAGTAAAAATAATTAAAATAATATTAGAGTTATATGAGAACAGGCAGCTTAGCATTATAACAAAGTTTGGAAATATAGATTTCATAAAAGCAGGAGATGGTATAGATCAAGGGGAGGTACTTTTCCTTTTGGTCTAGAGGATTTTTTATAACCCTTTGTTATGTAGAGTACAAGGAGCCAAACTTGGCTATGAAATGCAAAACATAGAA